TGATATGTGTCATCTATAATCAGGTCTTGACAAATGAAATCCAAATAATATATATGCCCACTAGCTGCGTATTAAATATAAACTCCAAATTTTGTTTCATGTAGGCAACATTGAGCCACAAAGGGTTAAGAAAAATGTACTGTATCTCCCGAATTCAAGGATGTAGCGATGTCAAATTTTGTTCAAATCCTATTTAGGGTAGTAATATTAAACCTGTGAACAAAAAATATTTCTATAATTAGAGAAAAAATCGGGGCACGATGGGTTAAGGTTATGAACATTTTGCTTTGATAATTTTTCAAAATTGTTAACGTATAATTTCACGACAATAATGCATTAATGAACTTAAATCCTTATATGACAGCGAATCAAGCAAAAATCGTATGAAGCCGACGATATGATATCCTTCACCACTTTGGGTATATATTATGTAATGTTAAATCTATGCAAACTCTAAGCTTTCCTGTTAAAATATCATTACTATCAGATTACTTTTCATTACATGGAGCACCATTTATATGAAATCGATCGAAAATATCTATAGGAGACATATCTAAATCTGAAAGGATATACCATTTCAGACTCAATACTTTATACAGTAGATATCGGATATTAGCACATCTCATATAGGAAAAAATCGCTTAATAGAAAGATTATCAAAAACACCGAGCTTATACTTCCTTATATCCGATAGTCCTTACATAATAGTGCAACAGAACGGTTGCAATATCGTATATTATACGTATTCCGGATCAAATAAAAATTTGTACTGATTTAGCAATGTCCATCTGAAAGACATTCTATTTTTGTTTTCAATTAAGCAACAATCGATTTGGTGAATTGTTGATTAAATTCAGCTGCCCGAAAGTATGCTTCATAATAAGTAAATTGAGATGTTCGAAAATGAAATCACAATCTTTATTGGTAGATCCTCAAAATATACTATGCTGATTGTAAAGCGGGACGATAACATCTTACTAATATCGATTTGTTGTATTCGATGAACCTATGTATAAGTGAAATTTCTCCGAATATTCGGAGGTTGAAAAATGTCGTCTAGTTGTACAAATAAAAAAAAACCCACAAGGTTTTCATGATCACAAAATTCTCAAGCCATTAGCCAATAACTTGGCCCATAGCGATTTTTCCCTGTTGTGTTCTTAATACACTCGCTTTGGACTTTCGTCCCCATAAGGAAATAGGTCTTCCTAATTTTAGATATATTGACAGTTAAAAAAAAAATATTTAATGGGACTACCCGTTCTTGGTTAAAAAAAAAAAACATTAATTTTCATTTAATTCGACCCTACACTAAATCAAGAATGTCCCTGTAAAATGTCAAGTGAAAATCTCAACAACTTTTGAAGATGCTCGACCTAGGCTAAAACGAAATTAGCCTCCGAAGTTGCTTCACAAAATACGCTATATCATTGCTACTACGGTTTTAGCCAAAATATTAAACGACAGAGACATGACCTTTGTTTTGAATAAAGCAGTCAGTAATGGAAATATAGCCGAAGTAAGGAACAAACATTTTGTTATATGCAGTTATATGAAAATTGGTAGGTCCTATTGGGAGCCTAAAAAATTATACAAACCAAATTTCACTTCAATAGCTTCATAAACAAAAAAGTTGGGGCAAATCGGCCAGATCGGCTATATGGCAGCGATATGAAATAGTGCCCCAAATCATATGAAAATTGGTAAGTCATCTTGGGAGCATAAAAAATTTATACAAACCAAATTTCAATTCAATAGCTTTAAAATCAGAGTTTATGCCAAAATAAACGTAAAAAAACCATAGTGCGTTGTGAAGATCGGCTTTTAATTGTGGCCTATAGATCGACTCGAAAAATCACAAACAATTAAGTTTTCGGTCCAGTTCATCCTAATTTTAGATATATTGACAGTTAAAAAAAAATATATTTAATGGGACTACCCGTTCTTGGTTTAAAAAAATAATTTTGTATTTCATTTAATTCGACCCTACACTAAATCAAGAATGTCCCTATAAAATGTCAAGTGAAAACCTCAACAACTTTCGAAGATATATCCTATTTATTGTGTTAGCGGAACAGTGTTTATACGAAGGGTGGGCACTAAAACCCAAATACTAATATCTTCATCGGTTCCAATTTCTATATAATGTAATCGGTAAATACACTGAGGGGAAAAACACTTCGCGATGTTGATTCGTTGTTGATTTTTCATCATGCGTTGTCACTTTGGTTTTGACAACACTTGTTGTTAATTTGTTAGCAGGGGTTTACAATTCTTAGTATTTGACCAGAATACGTTGTCACGTTTAAGAATGTGACCACGGATGTTGTCATATTTCAGAATATGACAACGAACGTTGTCAACTTGTATTCATATATGTCGAAATCAGTAACAAAAGGTGTCAATCGATGACATTTTATTCATTGTTATCGTGTTTCTGAAAGTGAAAAGAAGCATTGTGCAAAAAAGAATTAAAAAAAGAAATAACATAGAAATATAAGTTCTAAAGGCAAATGAAAAAATTGGCGTTTTGCGGAAATCGACGGTGATATTATGCTGGTCAGTAATACATCCATTTCATGCGTTTGTTTATAGATAAATGTAAGTAACTTATATTTACTACGAATTCAAATATATTATAATTATTGTGTTTGCCAATCTTTTAGTGGCACAGGAAGATCTTTGCTTGGAAAAACAGAGGTGTTATATTTGTATTGTTATGAAATGTATTAATGTATTTATGGCTTTGAACCGACGCTGAAACAATCCAATGCTATCTAAAATAGATTGTTGGTGGAAACGCAATGAGACAACTAACAACACATCCGGTTTAAATTGTTCCAAGGTCGAAGAAATTCTCTAAAGGTACAATAACTTAAATATAGTTGTTATGTAGGACCGTAGATTCAATTTTTTTTTTAAATTTTACTTATTTGGATACTTTGGATACCCTCCACCATAGATATACTGACAGGTACTTGAAATGAAAATATAGGGAAAATACCAAAAAGTAGACCTGTATCGACATTTCCACAAACCGGTTATGTAAACCACAATGTAAACAATAAAACAAATTTCAGAAAATTTTAATGGAAAATTATACCCTCAGCTTTATGGATAATGAGGGTGTATACACTTTGACACGGTTAAAATGTTTCTAGACCCCACGTTTCTTTGGACCAAATTTGTTTCAGAAAATTTTGATTTCATCCAAACTTTGGCCATATTATTATTTATTCCAAACTTAGTTCTAGTTCGAAGATGGGGAATATCCACTCCCTTGTTGTGGTTCATATATAGTTCATTATTGAACCCATCCCATCTTCGAACTTGACCTGCCAGCAGACAAAAGACGACCCTGTGCATAATTTTGGCGATCTATCTCAACTCGTTTAGACGCTGGAGTGATTACAACAGACGGACGGACAGACGGGCATGCTTAGATCGTCTTAGAATTTTAAGCTGATCAAGAATATATATACTTTATAGGGTCGAAAATTATTATTTCGATGAGTTACAAACGGGAAAACAAAATTAATATACCCTCCATACTATGGTGGATGTATAATAAATATATCTGAATAAATAAATACGAATGTTACCGTTATGGTGCCGTATGCACATATTTATACTCGTCCGATTTTAGGTAAATGGTGCACCAAACTCCCAATATTTGTACGATTCTGACAACATTTTGCACAGCGTACTGAAGTAAGTCCAGTTTGACGTATGTGACGTTTTGTTGAAATCGGTTCAGATTTAGATATAGCTCCCATATATAGTTTGTCCGATTTTAGGTAAATGGTGCTCTAACTCCCAATATTTGTCCGATTAAGACTAAATTTTGCCCAGTTTGATATCTATGATGATTTGTTGAAATCGGTACAGATTTAGATATCGCTCACATACATAATTGTTCTGGCCTATTGACATGAACATTTTTATAGATTTCAGAATGGCACGTGTATGTTTTTTTATTGGTTTCAATATCTATGTAGATCGCAAGTTATTTCGCCCGATTCCAGTTCAATGGTCTTCCATAGATGACATGTCTCTAATATCTACGGGATATTACCAGTTCTTGTGGCGAAGGGTATCATATAGTCGGCTCCATCCGACCTTTTGTCCAAGTCCCTCAAAAACGTTGGTTGAGGCATGATAACAGTTTTATTTTGTGGTCAGAAACTTACCTATACATTCGACCGAAAATAATGGAATTTTTATCAAACTTCGTAGGTATTATTATCAAACCTCGTACGTAGTAATGTTTGAAGAGGATGAACGATTTATTGATGTAATTTTGATATTGTGAATGGGAGGGGAGCTGTAATACTGACCAAACTTAAAGAATCGTTGCTTAATGTCGGTATTTTACACCTATTAGCAAATCGTAAAATGTGATAAATTTCTCACATACCCACACACACACACTGAATGTATATAATATCATACCACACACTACCACATTCTTGACATTTTTTACATATGATAAATAATTTATTCTTAAAATGGAAGGGTTTACAAACTTCTATAAGAAAATTTGTCATAAATTGTAATAAATTAAATTAAAATATAAAATTCCATAAATACGATTACACATTTCTAACTCAATTCTGGTGCATAACACAAGAACGACAAGAGGCGTTTTAATTACAAATAATAAATAGTTCTTACATTACAAGATTAATGTGTCAGACAATAAATTAGTTACTGTTTACTAAATTTAAGTTTTTAATAAATAAATGTAATAAATAATAATTATAAATATTAGGCTATTTGTCATATGGTCGCGAAAAATATGCGCTGACAATTTGATGAATATGAAGTAGTAGCGGAGATGCTGACAATCAAATTTTGATGTTGAGTCTCATGTCAATTAATGCTCAATGCCTGCAACTAAAGCGAAATTAATTACCAGTATTTCTTAAATGTTATCGTGTTTTTAGCTTACGTTTAGATAGTGATTGCATCTCCTTTAAAGTCCTACAACAACTATTGACCTACAATCTTACAACTTCTACGCCCTGTGGTGCAAAGAATGTTTCGGCTGCGATTTTAAGCTTTTCGTTGACCAATTTGGCTATTTTAGGTGTACGGCGCCAAACAAATTCTCTGGTACGGTCATGGTTGTCTTTGCTTTCCACTTCAACCTAAAAATTAAATAGAAATTTATTTAATTGTTTTCCATAATATTTTTTTACTGGGAAATATCGCACAACTGGGTTGCAAGTGAATATTAAAGGGATTTTTATGTCATCCACATAAAGAATGGGGGTACAGTAGACCACGGATATAAAAACATATTACATAGGAAAAACACGGATATATGAAAATGTTTCACCCATAAATGAAAACAGTTTGTTATATAAAATACATTCATATAAGAAAAACCCGTTTATAAGAACAAATTTCTCGATTTTTATACCCTTCACCACTCTGTGGTACAGGGTATTATGTCTTTGTCCATATGTTTGTAGCAGGCAAAAGGAAACGAGATAGACTCATGGTTCCTTTTGAGAATATGCATAGAATCACTTTCTGAGTCGATTTATGCATGCCCGTCTGTAGATGTTAAATTGTAAACAAAGTACAGGTCGCATTTATAATCCGATTTAGATGAAATTTGGCACAAGTCTCTTATTTGGCGCAAGGACGAACCCTATTGATAACCCCTATTAGGAAAAATCGGTTCAGATTAAGATATAGCTCCCATATATATATATATATATATATATATATATATATATATAAAGATATATTCGTCCGATTTAAGGTAAATGGGGCACCAAAGTCCCTCTATATCTTTCGATTTGCATGAAATTTGGCACAGAGTACTGAATTAGGTCCAGAATGATGTGTGCCAAGTTTCGAGAAAATCGGTTCAGATTTAGATATAGCTCCCATATATATATATATATATATATATATATATATATATATTCGTCCGATTTAAGGTAAATGGGGCACCAAAGTCCCTCTATATCTTTCGATTTGCATGAAATTTGCCACAGAGTACTGAATTAGGTCCAGAATGATGTGTGCCAAGTTTCGAGAAAATCGGTTCAGATTTAGATATAGCTCCCATATATAGCTTCGTCCGATTTGAGGTAAATGGGGCACCAAAGTCGCTCTGTATCTTTCGATTGGCATAAAATTTAGCACAAAGTACTGAATTAGGTCCAGAATGATGTGTGACAAGTTTCGAGAAAATCGGTTCAGATTTAGATATAGCTCCCATATATATTTTCGTCCGATTTATGGTAAATGGGGCACCAAATTCCTCGATATTTTTCGATTTGCATGAAATTTGGCACAGAGTACTGCATTAGGTCCAGAATGATGTGTGACAAGTTTCGAGAAAATCGGTTCAGATTTAGATATAGCTCCCATATATATATTCGTCCGATTTATGGTAAATGGGGTACCAAATTCCTCGATATTTTTCGATTTGCATGAAATTTGGCACAGAGTACTGCATTAGGTCCAAAATGATGTGTGTTAAGTTTCGAGAAAATCGGTTCAGATTTATATATAGCTCCCATATATAGTTTCGTCCGATTTAAGGTAAATGGGGCACCAAAGTCCCTCTATATCTTTCGATTTGCATGAAATTTGGCACAGAGTACGGAATTAGGTCCAGAATGATGTGTGCGAAGTTTCGAGAAAATCGGTTCAGATTTAGATATAGCTCCAATATATATTTTCGTCCGATTTAATGTAAATTGTACACTAAAGAACCAAAGATTGGCCAAACAAAGTGGTGAAGGGTATCATATAGTCGGCCCAGTCCGACTTTACTACTTTCCGTACTGGTTTTAGATGTTCTTATATCCGTGGTCTACTGTATATTAATTTTGTGCATCCCAAAAATACTCCCTTTGATGGCGGTGTCCAGTCCCTGGCTTGACACATACATTTAGTTGGTCAAAATCTTCAAAAGACTCTGGGGATTTTTTTTACAGCTACCGCATCATTAGTTTTTGAATTAAAACTTATATATTTATTATTTACATAATCTACTCACCTGTTTCGGTTGTTGCACCTTAATGGACATTAATGTGGCACGATCATTGACGACACTAAATTTAATGCGTCCGATCATTTCATTGGTGCGAGCCGTAGCACTCTTAACATTCTCAACACCACCACGTTTGAATGATTTCTCGACACGTAATATGAGTGGACCCAAAGTGAACTTTGCCTTAATGGTTGAATTGCGTCCTTCCGGATCGGTCACCACTTTCACATTGCCGACACGCTTCAATGATGCCAATCCCGATAGACTGCCTTCGGCCTTTTGGAAATCACCGCTGCCATCCTTACCACCATGTTGTGGTGACTTGTCATTTTTATTTGTGATTGTGGATTTCAGTTTTAGCTTGTTACTTGTTCCCTTGCTGCCCGATGCTGGTCCCGCTGCCGCAGCTGAATTGCCATTATGGACTTTTTTGTTCGAATTTTGTTTGTGAGCCTTTGTTGTGGCTTTCTTTTGATTTCCCGATTTGACAACGTTGTTGGCATGTACTGTGCGCGTTTCCGGTCTCAATTCTGTGCCGACGACTTTCTTTTCGCCTGATGTTGATGCGACTGCTGCTGTTGTATCACTGTTTTGCTCCTCCTGACCAGATACATTATTTTCAATTTGTTCCGTGGCTTTTAGGGTTTGTTGGTGTGCCTGCAATTGCTCCAATTGTTGTTGCAACTTGGCTTTTTCAGTCTCTTGATTGTCCTTGGGCAAATTGTCGATGCTGTCTGTATTTGCACTGCTGCTACGTGGTTCCGATTTTGTATTTTTTCTATGATTGCAAAATAAAAAAAACGAAAATGAAAATAATAACAACAAAAGAAATAACAGCCGACTAGAATGTAGATAAAAAATCAATTGGATGTATCACTTTATAAAGTTATGCTGTGTGCTTGTCGCCTGGCCCACTAGTGGTTGCAATAGTGTGGGCTTATTGTCCTAACTTTGCGATGTTACTTTAGGCAGTACATTGCAAAAAAGTGACAGATTCTTAACTGATACTAAGAGGCATACTGTTTTTTTTTTTATTACAAAAACGATGAATGTACGACCAATATGTATGTTCTATTTACACGAAAACCTGAAGGGCAAGCCAACTGAATCTGGAATTTCGTCCGACACGAAATTTCGCATTGGTATTAGAATTTTGTGGGCCAACATTGCACATGAGTTCTAATATATATATATATATATATATATACATATAAATTACGTGTATGTTCGTGATCGCTAAACTCAAAAACTACTGCACGGATTTTGACCACATTGTATGTGCAAGCTCTATGGGGCATGAGGAGTGTTTCTGTGTAGTTTGAAGTTCATCCGACAGATGGCGCAATATTTAGTGTTTTTTGTGTTTTTGTACCGTAACTCAAGAACTACTGCACGGATTTTTTACCAAACTTTATGTATATGCTCTATGGGAGGTGAGGAGTGTTTCGGTTTAATTTTAAGATCGTTTGACAGATGGCACGCTATATAGTTTCTTTGCGTTTTGCCCGATTAGATTTTGGGTGCTTAATCGACGTTAAGTATTCCGACACCAATCCATACATAACCTGTTTTCGTGAAAAGCGCGTGGGAGTCAAACGAAAAAAATGATTACACAAATGATGTAAACAATGTATAGCAACTCATCGATTGAGAACGGCGGGACCGATTTGACTAAAAATTTCTTTCTGTTAGCTGTAATAGAATAATATATATATATATATCTATATATATATAAAATAGAAAAAAATTTGTTTGTTTGTTTGTATGTTACCGATAGACGCAAAAACCGCTGAACAGATCTTAATGAGATTTACACTGTATGTCGGGGCATGCCCTGAAAGTAACATAGGCTATACAAACTTCTAAAATTCCGCGTGGATGCAGAGTTATAGCATCAATAGTAAACATACCTCAAAATTTCTGAACATGTAATATGCGTATATCTTAAGAACCGTTACATGTACCACCTTTAAAATTTGTCTGAATGACGTAGGTGTTAATACACATCATCCATACAAACTTGAGCGTGGAACGATTGGGGGAAAATGCACTCTCCGTTGCACTTAAATAATTTACATGAAGGAAATAAAAAATGTTTCGCTTCTAGACTCAAAACCCGTTAAACCGATTTTACTGAGATTTTCACCGCATGTCGTACCGTCCCAGGGAAATAACATAGGCTATACATACTTGAAAAATTCCGCGTGGATATAGAGTTAAAGCATCGAAAGTAATCGTACATCTGAAATAATATTACATTTTTATGCTTATATATTAAGAAGGGTTATAGATTCCAACTTCAAAATTTGTCTGAGTAAGTTGGTGACAAATACGCATCATCCATATAAAAATTGGCGTGACACAATGGGGGGAATTTATAGCATCAACAGTAATCATACCTCTGAACTAATATATAGTTTCTATGCATATCTTAAATAAATTGGTTCATAAACGTGTGTATTATAGTCTGATAATTACACATCCAATCTTAAATGACCAGGATTTAAAAAATGAATTCAAATCGAGAATTTTCGACTAATAATTTTTGGTCATATTATGTCATTATCAGCAATAATAATAACCATCAGTTAAATAATTCCGTTAACGTCTGCTGATTTTCATCTCTTCATTATCATCATATAATGGATAAAAATTTGTGTAAAATGAAAAAATATTGGCATTATATTTTTTTTTTTTCATTTTGTCAGTTTGAAAAAAAAAACATTTCATTTTTAGATTTTGTTTTGTTTTTAGGTTTCAAAAATTTTACATCTATTTGAGAAAACGCGTATTAATTGTATAAAAGTATGTATCAACAGTATAAGTGAGATATACAAATGCAAAAAGGCGGATTTTGGATAAAAAGTTATACGATTCAAAAATCTCTGGTGGATTATCATCACAGTTGACTTGAAATGATTATGAGTAACTTAATTGTCACACCATCTTCGGAATTGATCTAAGTTTCTTAAAAATACTATGGAATTACATGGTAAGTCCAATTATAAATCTAGGTTCAGTAAAAATATAAAGTTGTGATGTATTCTTTTTGAAGCCCTTTTTTGGCAATAAAACAAAGATATAAAATTTCAAGCTAGCAAGGATTATGCAGCAAGGATCTTTGTGATATTAATCGCAGCGAGAAAGGGATCCAAACCATATTATAGGCAAACTACTGAAAATACAGAAATAAAAGTAGGTGGTAATGGGAATGAAGGGTACTGCAGTAGGTTTTGCAGAAGGGTAAATTCCATCAAATGGTAGGTTCTTTAAAAAAAAACATTGCATTTACGTGGACTACCCTATGTTAATACTTAAGTAGGGGCAGCGAAGCGCCACGGGTTCAGCTAGTATATATATATATATATGTATATGCGGTGGTGTCTGGATAAAGTTAACTAATTTTTGCAAGTTCTGTTCATAGTGTTGTTATTATGTTCACTTAATGAGTTGGTGAATTTTAGAACCAAATTTTCGCTATCACCCGTTTTTGTTATAAAATTTTTTATATGTACAAAATATCATTTTTTTAAGTGCAGCGATTACTATATGTATACACTTGTATGTATTTTTGTCTGTTTTTTGTTTTCTTTTTTTAACTTACAACTTCTTAATTGATGTATTGGTGGCTTGTGGCTTTGCGGTCTTTGTTTTATGTGTGATTTGTTGCTCCTTGTTCCGGTTGGGAATGCCGCTTTTCGTCGATGACGCGCCACCACCATTTGGTGTATTGTGAATGGCGGCCGAACGACCAGTCAATTGCACGACAAATGGGTCATAGTTATCGGATACAATACGATTGATACGAGCGAATATGGCATCGACGAATTGATTATTACGTTCCTGGAAGGCGTCACCGGACATATCAATGATATTGTTTTTCAATTCACCTGAACATGTTGGTATCGCGTGTTCGATGTGATGTATCAAATGAAAATACACACAAAATGTGACCATAAAATAGAACAGAGAATTTGATTAGTCAGAAATTTGCATATTAAAAATTGTTTGATGTTGTTTTTTTATGAGTGATGGATATGTGTTATGAGCATGGTACAATAATACAATGTTGTAGCTAGTTTCCAATTTTATTTATATTGTTGTTGAGGAATTTTTTCATTGTTTTTTTTTATTTTTTTAATATTATTTTTTAATGAATTTCAATTTATTTGAGATATAAATTGTTGAAATGTTATATATATATATATATATATATTGTTATTATTATTCTTTTGAAGTCAATACAAATTTCAAAAATAGCATTAAAAACATGAATGGAGTAGTGACATATAAGAATTTATTTTCTCTTTTTCTTTTTTTTTCAGATTAAAAACAAATATTTTTAATATAGAAAACAACATGGATATTTGGTATTTTTTTTATATTTTCAAAACATATTTTACGGATTATTATTGTACCATGTGTAAGTGTGTATATGGTCGATAAGGATGTTGATATATATTTATATAAACAAATAAAGTATATTCATATATATATAAATAAACCGTATATTATATATACTAATAAATAAATACGCGTGTGTGATAATAAACTCTTAATAAAATATCAATGAATACATAATTTCTTATTATATGTTTTTTTTTTGCATCAAATACATGATAATAAATACTAATTAATTCCATTGTTCGATGTAATATTTATAGTACAATGTAAAACTAAGCACTGTCAATGAATAAAATTTAAAAAAAAAACATGCATATATACTTATAATTTCAGCTTTTGTTCTCTAACCTAGGACTGTAATTGTGAATTTATTAGCAAACAAACTGAATCACGAAGTGATTGTTTCAAATTTTCATTAATCACTATATATTTAAATATAGTTCCCATATACAATTTCGACTGATTTTAAGTAAATGTTAAAAATCCAATGATGTGATAGTCCGATTATTATGCATAAACTATTTGCAAATGCGGGTACAGTTATAGAGGTCTTCAACCCAAGATGGTTGAATCTACAACCGACATATTTGACTAAAATTGGGAAAACTCCAGGAATCTCAAGAAATAATGTTAGGTCTTATTGTAGACAATACTATAAATAAATAAAAAAACAAAGGAAAGTTCAAAAGTCGGAGATACACTTTGCCACATTGTGTACATACAAGAGATGCTATATACCAGGGACGTACGCAGGGGGGGGGCCCGGGCCCCCCCTGCACAGTAAATTTTTCACAGTAAATTTATGTTTGCAACAGCGAATTTTTTCATTTTGTACTGCCGGACGAAAATGTATACGGAAGCTATACCTAAATCTGAACACATTTCAACAAAACTTCATGGATGTCAACCTGTAGTAATTTCAACACGATATGCACAATTTTGTCTCAATCGGAAAACATTAACAGAATGTGCTCCATTGACATAAAATCCGACGAAACTATTTATGGGAGCTATATCGAAATCCGAAGCAATTCCAATTCAGTACTCGGTGCAACTGACTTCAACTGAATTTCGTTTACATCAATCTAGACCAAATTCAATACGCTGTGCTAAATGTTGTCTGAATCGAATCTAAATGAATATTGGGTGTTTGGTGCATCATTTACCAAAAATCAGACAAAACTATATATGAGAGCTATATGTAAATCTGGACGGATTCCTACAAAACTTCGCATACATCAATATGGACTTAACTCAGTACGCTGAGCAACATTTTGTGCCAATCGTCCTAAATTGGTCTATTTGATGCTCTATTTCCATAAAATTGGACTAAACTATATATGGGAGCTATGTCTAAATCTGAACCGATTCCAACAAAACCTCGCATAAAACAATCTGGAACTAATTTGTCTATTCGATGCTCTATTTACATAAAATCGGACTAAGTTATATATGGAAGCTATATATAAATGAGAACCGATTCCAATTGAATTTCGCATACATCAATCTAGACCAAATTCAATACGCTGTGCAAAATGTTGTCTCAATCCGACTAAAAGGGGGTGTTTGCTGCATCATTTACCAAAAATCGGACGAAACTGTATATGGAAGCCATATATAAACCTGAATAGGGTTCGTCCTTGCGCCAAATAAATGTGCTGTGCGACCTGTACTTTGTTTACAATTTAACGTGGACGGACATGCATAAATCGACTCATAAATTTATTCTATGCTTTTAATATATATATAATATATATGAGCTTTTAATTACAATAATAAAAAACATAAGATACCCTACACAACTACCACGGAACTCTTACTTTCTTTCGAGCCTGGGCAATCTTTCGTGAATTTTACACCCTCTTGACCGATTAGAGATCAACAGCACCTCTTCCTTATACTGACATATTTTCCGAATATTCCCAATATTTATTACAGCCCTGCTATTACTTATCGAGATTCCCTTCACCGTGGGTTGTGATGTGATGTACGGCTTGTGGTCTATAGATCGACTCGAAAAAACAAAAAAATTAAGTTTTGGGTCCACTTTATCCCAAATTTTTTATGTGATCATCACTGAAAATTATAGGCGGTTGTGCTTGACTATAACTGGAACCTCATGGAAAATTTCAAAGCGATCAGCGCATTATTTCTGCTCTCCATTATTAATGGATTACTAATTAATATCTGAATACGTAAGCACCTATAAATATTTAAGTCTAACTCCCACACCCGAGTACATACGATAATATAATTGGTATTAATTTAAAGGCAAACCACTACTCTTGGATATACTGTCTACTTCTTGGGTCTACAGCCTTCCGAAATATATATATATATATATATATATACGCCATAGAATACAAATTGTGTCATTTTTTACACAAAAGTCAGGATCCATTTGACCCGCTAAATAATGACTATAAAACAGGCATGTTGTGGAGAAGTAAAGATTTGTGTTACCCAACAACAACTCGAAATGAAAAATTATTGTTATATACTGCAATACCATACATCGCATCCTGATCAAGAATATAAATAATTTATGTGTACTTCGATGAATATTTCGATGTGTTGGAATCTCATTGTTTATAGACATATAGCTTGTGCTACAGACTTCATATAGCGGTACCACCAAATAATCGGTATTTTGAGGAGTTCAGAAATTTTTTTCAACCGAATATCACATTGTGTAGACAATCTTCGTACGAAACATTATCAATATTGTTTAGTATTACGGATTTCAACAATAATTACGGTCCGTTATTCACAATTTAGGCTATGTTAAAAAATTTCATATCACTTGTATATGAAAAATTTCTTCATTAGACCGTCGTATTTAAAACGATATATGGCACCTGTATTAAGGGAGTAGAGTGGAACATGTGTATAAAATTCTCAAATTACTGCAATTTAGTGTAAAAAGTTATATGAGTTTTTACTTAAAGGGAGGCCAATATTGATTACTTAGCTAGAAATTAGCGAATATTTTAGTTTTGTATCTCAACACTTTTCTTCAAGAGGTGCCTAAATGCTGGCCGATATATAGCATTCTAGAGTAATTTATCACGATATCCTTAGAAGGCGGAATGATTACAATAGATGACTAATTCGTCTTAGAATTCCAAACTTTGTAGCAAAATCCTTTAGATCGAATAGACATGGCATCTTTAGAGGACCATTGAAATGGATCGGAAGTTAAATACGTGATTTTGTCTCAATCGGAGCAATATTGGGAGTTCGGTTCCCCATTTACAAAAAATCGGACGAAACTATATATGGGAGCTATATCCAAATCACCACACTGTGGTATAGGTACCCCTAAAAAAAGAGATTATTACCATATACGAATTGAAAAAAAACCGCTAAAGAACCCCAAAATACAGAAAATTGGGCGGACTACCCGAAAAATTAACCTATATTTATAATTTTTGGTGGAGAAGTTCGCTACCCACCAAGAACCCAATGTACCGAATTTCAGCGAATTCGGTAAAAAACGCACTCAAGAACCCCAAAATATCAACAAATGGGGGGTATACTTAAATGGGGGCTACCCGAAGAAATTGACCTATATTTATAATTTTTAGTGGAGAAGTTTGGTACATAATAAGAGCCCATGGTACCAAACTTCAGCGATTTCGATTGAAAAACGACCTTAAGAACCCTAGGTACCGAAAATTGGTGGGGACCCTTATATGGGTGCTATGCATAAACGTGGAAAGTTTAGGAAACAGTTCAGCCGTCGCTTGATGCTGACACAATAAATCGGCTATATATTCAAAAGTTGTTTTATAGAGACATTCTTGAATTAGTGTAGATTCGAATCAAATTAAAAATTAAATTTTTTGAAACTGGAAATGGGTGGGGTCCCCCAGTGGTGTACGGTGTCGTAAACGTGGCAATTTTCGACTTTGGTACGTTCCTTAATGGCTTTTCTTTAAATATTGCAAATACATTTTTAAGTAATTCGTCCCCAAAGGTTTAGTTTTTCTGAAATTTCCATGGAATTTTGTAGAAGTTTTCAAAGCCATAAAATGTTAACCCCTGCCTGTAGATTTGCTTATTTATTGTCTCTTTTTCTACCGAATAACTAAAATATAAATTACGTCAATCTAATGGGTACTTATTTCGTTTGTTTGCTTGTTCCAAATTCAATGATAATCGGAGCATAAATTTTCTGTTACTGTTCACAAATGCCTAACCATAAATCTGAGTAAATCTCATGTTACCAAAAAAAGAAAAAGAAAAGAATCAAATACTAGTGATGGATTATATTAATTTTTACACAACACAAAAAAAGGGAAAGACGACAATAGAACTAGTTGTTGGAAACATGAAAAATGCGAAAAGGAAAAAAGGAAACGATTGAACCATAACCCCAAACATACTTACTTACAGAAGCCCACACATGTAGCTGTGGGAGTTAAATATGTGCATGTTAGTGGTACAGAGAGAAAATAGGCGTAACTTGCGGGGGGAGAACATGAAAAAAGTGTGCAAAGGAAACATTGGATAAAGCAGGTGATTAGGAAAGGCAACAACTCAGCCATTTCGAATGGCATCAATGTAGGTGATAAACGGTTAACAGCATTTAAGTGTTTGACAGAACAAAACCAACACGACAAAAAAATGAGGATATATATGTATGAATATTGAAAGTGTTAGGAGAAGTAAGGAAAGAGAAAATGTTATTACTACTGTTTTTTAGATGGGGGTGAGGGAGAACAAACAAACGCTTGAAAAATGCCTTTTAGCCAATTTTGCTACTTTTGTTTGTTGTTGTCTTCATGAAGGGCGGAAGGGCGTTTTAGTTGAATGCAATGGACAAGTTACGCCTTCTGGTCCTTTTCAAATAAAAACATATAGAGTAGTTCACCAATTTATTAAAGTTAAAATAAAACACAAATTTATTTATTTTTCTGTTTTCAAAATTATTTTCATTTAATTTTTCAAATGTTTGTTTTATATATCTCTGGGAGAGTTTGCTTTTTGTTTGTCTAACATAAAAACACTTTTCAAAGGGGGGATTTTACATAAAAGAGAACAAGTTAAAACATTTTTAAATTAGAATAAATAAATATTGAAAAAAAATTATGAAATTGTAGTATTTTTTTTATTTTTCAATTTTGTGTCTTGTGTTTTGTGAGAAAGGGGGAAAAGTGTGTTTTAAGTGTTTTATGGTGTTTTGTATTTGGGAAAGAAGACAATGTGTGGAATTGTTCCGGTCAATTATAATTTAATACAAAATTTCAAATTTATTTATGTGTCGTAAGAAAGTTAGGTTATGTCAAATAAAAGTTATTTTTATTTGTGAATTGCCTCATAGGAAGCGTATTCAATTTTTGAAAAATGTTGTTTTATATTCATTTTTTTAATTTAAAAGAGATTTTTTCTAATTTCATAAATTGAATTTAGCTTCAAAGACAACTTCATTTTTTTAAATATGTCTTAGCATGAGATTTTGATAATTTGCATTATTTTTTAGATATATAATCTAGTTGACACAACCTTACTTTTTGTAAAACAAAATAAAAAGCCATTTTTTGTAGTAAACCAATATTATCTCCACCTCATTGGAAGTCAATAAAAAGGTCACGACGGAATTTTCCAATTTGGTGTTTAAAAAAAGTATTTTTCAAGCGTTGGACCGGACATAGTTTGGATCCACGAATAAGGAGTTTTAGTGTTTCAATTCTCTACCCTTTTAAATGCATACAATTATTAATATGTTTCTTTTTTTTAATTTTTACGGATAGAGAATAAAGATAGGCAGGAGGATAGACAGGCGAGACAGACAGATAGACAGAATGAAAGAAAAGACAGTTTAGTGTTGTTGTAGATTTTTTTGTGGTGTAATTGTGATCAATAAATAAATAAATAAATTACATTACAAATCAAAAATAAAATAAATAAATAAATAATTTAAAAATACATTTAACTAATAACTAAAGAGAAAGGAAGGATAGATTGTAGGTAATGTGCATTGTTAAGATAGTTGTGATGTTGCTACGATACATTAGATTTACATTACTTTACGTTACGTTACTATAAGCTACGTTACGTTACATTGAAATAAACTAACTAACACTGAATATCCTTAAGAAAAAATTTAGGGATATTTAATGTTCTTAGCCATTTTCATATAGTAGTTGTTGTTGTTTTTATGTAATAACATTAATAGAAATACATTTATGTTTTTTTCTCTTCTCTTCATCCTCATCGTCGGGTTTTTTTTGTACATGAACATGAAGGTGTATGAAACGAAATTGCATGACATATTATATAAAATGTTTTTTTTTTTTGTTTTTCTTTTCAACAAGTTGTGCTTTTAAAAGTAAAAAAGTGCAAATAGTGGTGAAAAAAATTTGAACTACGTTTTCTTTGTTTTTGTTGTTGCATCGGTGCAAATTCGTTAAAATTAAAGATTTGTGTGTGTGTGTGTGTGAGTGCTGTTACAGACAAGAAGTGCGAAATTCTCCTTACGCTAAGTGGGCCAAGGATGGACGCGTATGCATGTGTGCGAAAGAGGACAAGCCTGTTGTTGATTTTACACTTTTCCTCTCAAAGGAAAGAATCTTGAGAATGGACCCAATCTTTTTTTCTGTCATTTTCTTTTGCTATTTTGCTGACAAGACAAAAATGGACTAATTTAAGAGATAAAACAAACTGGCAAAATGGACATTGACCCAACAACTACACATAGATGGTGATAAACAGACAAATTTAGTCTGCTTATCATCAGTGTAGAAATAAAAAGCAAAAAAAAAAAACACTTTGCTCTATTCTGTTTTCTTGTCATCTGTTTGTCTGCCAGTCTTTATGGTAAAAAAAAAACAGACAAACTCGCACACACATTTCGTAATGAGCATGACAATGTTAGTTAGATGTTGGAAAAGGGTTAAAACACATATACACACACACGGAAAATCTTAAAAGAAAATCAAACATAAATGCTTGGAGGCTTATAGATCGTTCAGAATGGTCCTTAATTGAGGTCGCTTGTGTCATTTATGCATTGGCCTTGTTTAATTGTTGTTGTTGTTTTTTTTTAATATTTTTTTGGGAGGAGCGAGAAGTTAATGAGCTATGGTAAACACAATGGCCTTCATCTCTTTCTTAAGCTTTCAATGATTTTTTACTCTTCAAAGCACTTGTTGATTTTTTGCTGGTGGTATGTTTCTTAGCTGTTGTTGTTGTTTGGGACTCACGTGCTTCACGACGGGCCTCGATCACATCATCACCAATAATATCATCGTCATCATCATCCTCCTCCTCGTCATCGGCTTCATCATCATCACCAGTTAGGGCACCTGTAATTTCATCGACTCCATCATCAAGTTCATCTTCTTCATCATCATCATCTTCATCATCATCGTCATCGGCATCCTGATCAATGTTCGTTGCCTTCACCGGTTTGGCACTTACAGCGGCCGTTGGGGTCTTATTAATGCCCACAGCCTCAGCCGGTGTCAGATTTGAACTTAGATCAGAAGCGATGTGATTCTGATTTTGATTCTTGTTATTGTTATTCTTTAAATTATTTAATTTGTTATTAGTGGTACTACTTGATGGTTTCTGTATGGAGTTGGTTGCGGTAGATGTTGTTGTTGTTGTTGGTGTGTTTTTCAGAGTGTCAAATGGGCTGTTTGTAATGAGCTGTTGTTGTACTTGTTGGATTTGTTGTTTTGTGTTTAGATGAATCTGTTCTGAGCTAGTGAGACTATCAACTTGACTACCACTATTGTCGCTGGCAATGATATTGGCATCAAGGTCGCTGCCACTAGCACCGTTGACATTACCAATTACACTACCACTACTAATACTATTACTACTACTACTACTGCTAATACCACTACTACTGATACTATCTACAATAATGTTAGAATTTTCATCATAAAAAACATCTAGTTCACCTTCGTTCTGGTTACTGCTGCCGGCAGGAGCAATATCAGCATTGGAGGCATTGGCATCGCTCAATGTATCGGCAGAGTTGCCACTTTCGGCGGGTAGATCAACACCATCGGAAATACCGGCATTGGCTGGGGCAGCAGCAGCGGAGGCAGCTGGAGCTAAGTCTTCGATGGGTGCGGCGGGTTGGGCAGCAATGGTGTTTTGTACACTTGAGGCGGTATCTTCATCATCGTCGTCATCTTCTTCTTCGTCATCTGAAAAATGGTGAGACAAAATAAGAAGTTTGTTAATTATCGATTGCAAAATATATATATACGCTGAGGAAATTTTGTTCCAAAAAGGATGATTTTGTTTCATATAGAAGCATCTGCCCTGAAGCCCATGTTCGGGGGACAGCTCAGGAATGCTTACAATCGCCCGAAAAGAAAGATCCAAAGGTTGGCTATATGGTACCCTTTGTCTTCTTGGGTTTTTGGTATCATATAGAAGCATCTGTCCTGAAGCCCATGTTCTGGGGAAAGCTCGGGAATGCTTGCAATCGCCCGTAAAGAAAGAACGAAAGATTGAATATATAATACCCTACACCCCATTGGGGTTTTGGTATTTGCAATTAGGGTTTGGAATTCACTGGAAACCATATAAAAAATATGGACACTATATTTAACTACGTATTATTTTTTAACCAATCAGTATTTTTGATAAAGATGTTTCTTAACTGAGTCGTTTATTTTGAAACTAGTTTAAGTCCATATTCGGTTCTAATACAAGTCTTTGATTTTTAGAAATGTTTACAAAACTTATTACGTTATATATTCCATCATATTTAAGGGCACAAAGCCACAAACAAAATTAATACCACTCAACCACATTTTTGAAAGAAATCAAACCCAAACCTTTAAATATCTCAATATATGAAAAAATGGACAAAATCTACTTTCAAAATAAACAATTCAACTGCTAAGCCAATTTAGTTTCGAAAACTTTTGCCAGAAAATTTAAGGCACCGTCATGGGAGGACTGCCCCTAAATGTAGCTGATCTTTGAACTTGACTTGTTTTCAAGAAAAAAAGACGTCTATCTGATTGCGTCAGAAGAGAGCATAACTACAAGATAGGAACGGGTTTTCAGAGAGGGCTTTGGAAAGTGAGACTAACATCGTGGATCTCAATGGAAATGTTTCGAATTGGAATTTTTGTATAGGGCCGGTAATGATAATATTAATATATCCTCCTTACTACAGTGGAGGGTATAAAAATAGATAGATCTATTTTGCTATCTTCTGCATGGTACATACAAAGGAACAAAGACATAATAGTATGTACGATAGGCAGAATTAACTGTCAAGTTAAGCAAATTTTCCAATGATTTTTAAATTAAAATGAATAAATTTCTTATGAAGGTTATGTTACAAAGTACTGTTATTTTTTACATTTTCCTTTCGACTTTCAAACTTACCTCCCAAAATGTCATCGAACAAACGATCCAAATAATCATCATCGTCATCATCTTCTTCATCATCGTCATCGGATGAGGCAGCAGGAGCAGCTTGTCCTTGTGGTGTATCGTCTTCCTCTTCATCATCATCCTCTTCGTCATCGTCATCTTCGTCGTCTGAAAACCCCGAAATAAAGAGAACTGTTATTCATGCATGTTCAGAACAACATGAAAAAAAGAAGACAAAACAAAAAACGTCATAATGATACATGTCACACACACACATTCGTAACAAGGACACTTTGTGTCCTTGTCAGTAATAGGAGCAAACCGAATTAAAACTTACTTCCACCAGCCAGAAACGTAGAGAAATTATGAGAGAAGAGACAACAGAGAGAAAACAAATCAAATTAAACTAATTAAAATCTACGGAATCTAAAATGCACTACATAGAAAGTTATAATGGAAAAATAATAGAGAAACAAAATTTGAATAGTAGAAGTACTACCATTTTAAGACCTAACAGAGATGAACAGAAACTTCATGCACCAATGAGATATAACCAAAAACGGAAATAGAGAAAGTAAATATGTAGAACTGGTTTGAATTTGGATCATACGAGTTGGGCAACCGCAATCCTAAAACAGTTCGATCATTTTTTAGGGTGCACTGCAAAAGGAACTATGTATGGCATGAAATTAGTTACATAGTTCATTGTCGTTCAATTAGTATTCTCATTCGATCAATTCTGTCATTCGTGCTTCTTCGTATTACTCAAGCAGCGGGATCAGTTTGTATTGGAATAAAATAGTCTGGTATTGATCAACCAGTGGGTTCAGGATTGTATTGGAATTTATTTATCTGTGCACAACTATTTCAAATTGAATGGTGTACGACGTTCAATTTTGTTAACAGAGAGATACAACTAATGCCACAAGAACTGATGTAACTATGTGAACTTATGGAACTAATTGAACGAAAAGATCTAGATGAAGAAGAGTAAAAGTTAATTGGAGCAGTTGATCGAAAGAACTGAAACGACCTATTTAAGCCATTCACTTAGGTCCACAGACAATTTTAGTTCCACATTTCAATTAATTCGATCAGTTCTGTGGTTTCTGCTTCTTCATATTGCTCAACCAGTGGGTTCAGGTTTGTATTGAAATTTATTTTTCTGCCCCCATCAATTTTAAATTGAATTGAGATACAACTAATGTCACATGAACTGACGTAACTGTGTGAACTTATGGAACTAATTGAATGAGCAGGTCTAGATGAACAAGAGCAAAAATTAACGATTGGAGCAAAAATCTCAAACATTTTGTGCATATTCCTGTGGCGATTTTAAATAGGGTATATGCCTGCATGTGCTCTCTTCTCTCCTCTTTACATGGTGGCTATGATAAAACATATCTACAATTTTCTTTAAAGACGTTATTCGGCCTCAAAATGCCCAGAATGGCAAATTATTGCATTTTCTGTTAGAAAATCTGTTACTAAAACAATTAAAAATCTTCTGCAAATATGGTTTTAACCGTCCAAGAACCCCAAAATATTAAATCCAGAATATATTTAATATTCACTCCTCCTTTCCCATTTTAATGGACTTAAGACCAAATTGTTCTGTAATAAAAAAATGCTGATTGGTATTCTCAAGTGCCATTATAGAAAATCGCATTAATTTTAATTTGTCTCCCTCTCTTTCGCCAGCCCCACTTTATATTGATTAGTATCCTCAAGCAGCATCATAGAAAATCGCATTGCTTTTCGTCTCTCTCTCCCGGTTCCCACATATAATCCGAAGACACACTATCCTTCATTTTTAAGAGTATCACGCATAGTTATTTCAAATATAAATGATAATGAAATCCAATGATATTTGAATTAAAAATCATTAGGCTAAATAATTTAATTATTCTCTTCACTGCAAACGGAGACAATAGCTGGTGGAGTTGCTACTCCTTCCATGGTTGTGTTATGTACATATGAAGGGGTATGGAAACTTGCACAAAGAATCGTCATTAAAGAAACTTCACTAAATTTGAAATCGGTGGGAGTTCCCTAAGTTAAGTTTATGTGACAACAACGAAAATACGTCACTACTGCAATAATGATTGCATTATTTCAAGATTATCACATATACGTACACATACATGTTTATGCCCAAAATTTCGGGTGACATGCATCCTTAAATCGCTTATCCATTGAAGAGTGGTATATTAGTATAATTTGAAATATAGAAGAAGAAGAGAGACAGTAGAAGAAAAATCTCAACATTTTTGCAACAATATACTTAATTTAGGAACAGACAAGTACAGAAGTGCAGTCAACAACAGCAACAAGAGTATTTAATAGCTACTTAAATAGGAAAACAGAATTAATATTAACCAAAGATTAACATTGCCTTTAAACCAAAAAAGTACTTGTGTGTGTGTGTGCTTTTTCATTTTGCTGGGTTCAACCAGAGTGTGTGTGTGTGTGTATGTATGTAAACGGGGAATTTTAATTTCAAAACATACCATCATCATCATCTATCAGATCACCCAAATCTGTGTCATCATCATCGTCATCCTCATCGTCATCATCTTCATCAACAGCTGGAGCAGCTGCTACAGCACCACTTGTGGCCTGTTGACGGGCAACGGCACGTTCTTGACGTTCGACTAGTTTGACGGGTGAGGCATAGGTTTGTTGCAGCAACAATACGCTGAGTACACAAAGCAAAAGTACGAATTTCATTTTGAGGTTTCTGCAAATGGAAGAAAGCAAGGAAAAAAGGGTTAAGTAAATATCTATGTTAAAGTTTGAATATATTTATATACAACTTTTATTTTCATTCAATTAAGTTGTATTGATTGATGATGACCAACAGTAACAACAACATACTGGCGGATGTAAATATAGAACAACAAATAATTTATAAGAAAAAAATAATCAAAACAAACTTTTTTGTTTGTACACTGCAAAACTAACATGTTGACTGAAAACCAAATAATCTAAAAAAAAACGTTTGAAATCTCTTAATTTTTATTGGAACACAACACAAGTGATTTCAGGATGGAACAAAAATTATTTTGTTTTATTTACCCATTATAATTTTAAAAAGGATGAACTATATGAGTCGTTTTTTTTTTGCAAGTGGTTTGAGTCAATTTTTATACCCTACACAACTATGTTGTCAGGGTATTATAGCTTTGTGCAGCCCCAAATGTTTGTAACGCCGCGAAATATTGGTCCTAGACCCACCTTTAAGTATGCCGATCGTCATATCTCGACTAGCTGAGTCGATCTAGACATGTGTGTCCGTCCGTCTGTCCATTATAATTTGTAAACACGATACAGGCCACAGTTATGGACCAATCTTCACGAAATTTTGCATGTAGGATGGGTTCTGGCCAATGAAGACCCCTATTGTTTTTGGAAAAAATCGGTTAATAATTGGGGGATGAAATGGACCAAAAACTTTATTTTTGTCGGTTTTTCTGGTCGCTCCAGAGGCCGCAATTATGGCCCAAACACCGCGAATTTTTGCATGGAGAAGGGGATCGGGCCAGAGAATAAGCATGCATGTTTTTATAAAGATCGGTCAATATTTAGCGGGTCAAATGGACCCTGACTTTTGTGTGAAAAATGACAAAATTTGTATTCTATGGCATATATATTTACTCCTGGAGGATGTAGACCCGAGGAGTTGATAGCATATCCATGAGGAGTGGTTGGGCTTTAAGTGGGAGTTACAGTCAAATATTTACAGGTGCTTACGTATTCAGATATTATAGAGGGGGAAATATCGCGCTGATGGCTTTGAAATTTTTCATGAAGTTCCAGTTATGGTCAAGAACAACGCCTACAATTTTCGGTGATGATCAGATTAAAATTTTGGGATGAAATGGACCGAAAACTTAATTTTTTGTGTGTTTTCGAGTCGAATATAGTCCGAAAATCACAACACAACCCACCGTTAAGGTAATCTGGACAAGTAATTAGAAGGACTGTACTGAATATTCGAAAAAAGTAAGGAAGAGGTGTTGTTGACCTCTAATCGGACAAGAGGGGGCAAATGTCACGAAATATTACTCAGATTCGGAATAAACATCCTCAGAAAGTTAGAGTTCGTGGTAGTTGTGTAGGGTATCGTATGGTCGGCCCCGTCCGACTATACTGCTCCGCTCACTGGTTTTACTTACATTGACATACTTAAATATTTGTGTTTGAGACGGAAATGCGTAAATCGACATAGAATTTTATTCTGGTCAAGAGTATATATATTGTGTGGGGTCTCCAGTGAATATTTATACGTTTTACAAACGGAATGACAAATTTAATATACACTCCAAAAATGTGGAGGTATAATTTTATAGGGTGCTATTTCAAAACATTGATCTATATTCAAATATTTTTGAAGAACAAAATGTTTCAACCTCAAACGACCTGGAATGTCAAATTACAATCCCTTCGGTGGGAAAAGACCTATGACAAAATATTAAGCTATATTGAAAAATTTGTGCAAACACATTTTTTTTATATTCAAAGATTCCGAAATGCCAAATTACAGGCACTACGTTGGGAAAATGCAGATACGATTTTCAGAATATGAGGTGGTCTTATCAAAACATGAGTCTATCTTAATAATTTTTGTTATAAACATAGCCTCCAAGAACCCAGCTGAGGAAATGCGGATAAAATATTTAGAATATCGAAATTGTGTCGGGATCTGTTTATGAGGCCTATTTCAAAACGTGGACATATTTTATACCAGAAATGGCAAATTACATACCCTGTGGCTAAGATTTTCAGAATGCCGAAAATACAACGGTCGATTACAATTTGTCTACAAACACATTATTGATGTACCCGAAAAGCCAAATTATAGGCACTTCGTTGAAAATGTGTCGAGATCTTTATATGGGGGATATGCCAAAATATGGCACTTTATTAATTTTTTTTTCTTCAAACTTATTTTTGTCCCTTCCAGAAGTAATTCGTTTTACATTTCCTTGTAAATTGGCAATAATCTCGTAACCACAAAATAACTCAGTGTAGAAAAAATCCACACTAGATTATTCACACTTAGATATCGTGATATACAGATTTGTATTCGCAATCGGATCAGAAAGGTGAAATCTGTGGTTTTCATTTAATGGATATATGCAAACATTGATGGGCCAACAAATAAGCCAACGAGACAAAACAATAGCAACAGTCCTACAAGCAGGCTACATTCAGAACAATATATATATATATATATATATATATATGGGTCAACAATAAAACGAACAAAAAAATGAAATATGTATGCAGATTTTTTTTAAACAAATAATAAAACGTTTTTCTGTTTTGCAACACCAAACGAAAAACCACCACCCTCTATAGGGGTATGTGCAACTATATAAAAGTAAACCATTCTGATATTGATATATGAAATATATATCATTTTTTTAGTTTATGCCAAACAAAACATATTGGTGCCAACATATTGATGATGGGGAAGTTTTTTTTATTATTTGCCAATCAGCAACCGCCAAACGGTGCTAATTAAATAAATAAAAGTGAAGTTCACCAGAATTTCAGTTCAACTCTGGAGGTGAAAGTAAAAAATGTGTTTCTTGTATTCACAAGTTTTACGCTCAGGATAGGTCAAGCTATCACCGAATTAACGGAAAAGAAAACAAAAATTGGAGTATTGTGACCTGAACTGAAATAAATGATTACATTAAAATGAATTTCAGAAATTTTGGAAATTAAGAAATATTGCAAAATTCTATGATTTGAAATTGTGGATGGATTTCCAATTAAATTAGTAAAAATAAATTTAAAAAAAAATCATTATAGATAGCCTTTGAAATATGTAGTAATTAGACCTTTGTATAACTCTATCATTCGATTAGAAATTTTCAAAATTTTATAATATTTATTCGTAAATAAAAAGTGAATAAAAGCCTCCATAAAAATACAACAATAACAAAAGCCATACATATTTACCCAAAAATTATTCAAGGTTTGTTATAATACCATAACAAGCTACACAAAAACTTTTACTTTTTAAGACGATACCAAAAAACGAAAACACAACAACAAAATATATTGATTGTGCGTCCATTAATGTGACAACAGTTGTTGTTGTCGTTGTTCGAACAACAACAACAAGTCATCCAATATCCCAAAAATGAATGTATGGCTTAGCAGCATTCAACGTTGGTGTATATATAAGTATGTTAGTGTGTGTGTGTGCGAATGGTTTATCAATGAAATGCTTTCAACAAAATTTCACCTTCACGACAAAAAGTTGGGGATACAAAAACTTAAGAAGTCAACTTTCTTTTTTTTTGTGGTTTTTGTTTTTGCTGGACAAATAAATGTGAACATATTTTGTTTTTGCAAGAGAAGGAAAAAGGTGACTATAAGGAATAACACGTTGATTGCACGTGTGTTAGAAATTTTTTGAAAAAAGTTGAAAAATTGTGTTTTTTTAGAAAAAAAAACTCTTCAATGTCATGTGGAGACACAGAAATAAACATATTTAGTTATTATAACTTTTTTTTTATTATTTTGATAATAAGGGATAACAACACACGTATACATATGTACATGTAATTTACAATACTAATAGTAAACCCTATTTCAAACTCGAAAAGAAATACAATTCATATCATGAAAATAGCTTGAATCGCGTCAGTAAGGAAATGACGAAAGGCAGATTGGGTGCCACTATATGATAATATATACCACATTTATATTAAAATCCCTATTAAAAATTTTATACGGAATCAATATTTTTTTCGAAAATGATATTATTTCATTCTCTCCGATAAAATTTGTATGTATGTATTAGGCAGTTATATCGAAATATGGACCGATTACCTCATATCACCTGAATATATATATATATATATATATATATCATATATATATGAGAGCATCAACTTAACATTCCGTAAGTGAATGTATATATATATATATATATATTTGTTCTAGGATCTTCCTCAAGAAGTAATCAACAATTTAGCTATCGGGATTTTCAACATTATTTATTTTCAATTTGTTATACGATACCATTGATGAGTGATGATTTATTTATTCTAAAAACGCACACGCACACACCAATTAAATACTTTGCATATTTTAAGAATATGCCAAAAATACAAAAAAAAAAAACAAAACGAAAACATGCTGAAAGCAATGATGGCTACAACTTTGTACACGTCAAGTAAGTAAACAAAAATTTTAGTTTGTTGTTTACATTTCAGAGAGAGTTGTTATTGTTGTTGCTGCTGCTGCTGCTATTTGTGGTCTTGTGGTTGTTATCTTTTTGTCTTTCTTGTTTGCTACTCTTACCATCCCTGGAGGGTTAAATATGCCAAAACGTCTGCACATTTTTTATACGTTAACTCTATCATGGTAACGTACACGTAGCTATGTACAGAGTGTATGTATGTAGTAGATATGTGAAATGATAGCTTTTGGCAATGCATATATGTATATGTACTTAGTACTTGTATATACTCTATTAAAGCCGGAAGCAAGATTTTCTAGGCTATGCCATTTTTTTGCTGTTGGGCGCCACAACCATTAATGACCATTACCACAGTTTTACCATTTTTCTCTCTTTTTAAAATATAAGGATTTTTTTTAGAAAATGTAAATAACGTATTATTAATTTATCGGTTGGGCGCCACAGCCACTAACGTAAATATACCCATTTTATTAATTTTGTTTCTATTTAAATATTTTTTATTAATTTATTT